CCGCCACTGCTCGCCGTGCTCCCGACCCGAGGCTGCCCCTCGCCCCCAGGCCGACGCCATGAAGATCAAGGATGCCAAGAAGCCCTGTAAGATGGGGGCTTGGGCCCGCCGGCTTGGGAGGGCACCCTCGGGCCCGTCTGGGAGCCTCTTGGCGGAGCGGCCTGGTTCCAAGCCCGCCGCTCCTCGCCGGCGCCTAGCCTGGGAAGGGGGTGGAGGGACCATTTCAGCTCCGGGTTCGCGGCGTCCGTCCTTCCCATCCCCCTGCGCGTGCATGGTGGACGCCTGCCGCCCCCTAGTCCTTTCCTCCCACTTCCTCTTCCAGATCTGGGAGGTGCAAGAGGGAGTTTTTGATTCGAATTTTGCCAAACAAGACTAGAGCTTCCAGTCCCGTCTCCTAGCTTCTTCTGAAGTTAGGTTGAAAAGAGAGGTGGTCCCGGCTGTCGAATGTCGCCGGGGATCATCAGCACCCATTTTTACTGATTTCCGGGCTTCTTGCCTGTGTCCTTGAAATCCTGGTGGGTTCTGGGACTTGTCACTATCGTTAAAATTGGAGTTTTTAAACGCACTTGCATGTAACCTGCTAATGGGTAATTACCTTGGCTTGTTTTTGTTTAGAATATCAACTAGTTCATGTTTGTTTTAGAAAACACAGATAAATAAAAAGAAGATAAAATCACCCGTATTCCCGGCACCTGGAGCGAACCACTATTAATATTATGGTGAATACCGTAGAGATTTTTCTATAACTGTATGTGCATGTACTTTTCACAGAAAATTATTTTCATGCTTTTAAAAAAGCAGATCAACTTTCATTTGCATCCTTTTGTTTTTAGCCTTTCAAAAACCTTTTATTCCTGTAATTGGCTTATTTAATCACTCAGCCATTGTGATTGTCATACTATAAGTACAGTCTCCCAGAACAACTAGGAATGTGGGGATTCGTGCTCATGTGTTGATACTTTGCAGTTTTTACAGTGTTTTGTGTGATCCTCTTAACTATTCTAAGAAATCTTCAGCTATGAAGCAGGGCACTGACACCTTCCCTGCCGACCATCAGAATTCTTGTAAACCTCACGGGAGAAGCAACAATCCTAAGCACTCTGAAACGAATTGTTATCTAAATGTCAGGTAATTTGGTCTTAGCTGTACAGCTGAAGAAATTGAACTTGCTGAGCCAGAGTAACTTTTCCAAGGCTATACCAACCATGTGCTAACGAAGTTCAGAGCCCTAAGTGGACTGACTCATAATCTGGTGTTCATTCTGTAGCCATAGGGCAGAGTCTAAAACTTAGAGAAACAAGCCTTTTTTATCTGGCAGTTTTATCTGCTAATTTAAACAGTTTTTTGATGATTTCTTGTGATAACTGAAGAGTTCTTGTGATAGTTGTTCAAGGGTTTGTCTATAAAATAGTGATGTGAAAGCTTAAATGACAATGTAATATAGAAATACTTATAATTTACATTTGCTGAATTAAACTAATGCATCTTAAAGAGGTCTGCTAATGTATAACATTTGGACATCTTCCCTCAACACATGTATTTTTCTCTGCTTATCTTAGAATTTCCATTTCGTGGAGATTATAACAAACTCCTATTCTGACTCTTATGGTGATACTTCTTTTCTTTGTGTTATGATCGTAGTTTGATTACTTAGACTTGAGCAAACTAATCAGGTATGAATATCACCTCCTTCAAAGGTGTTTCAGAACAGATTATAGGGCACAGCGACTTGTGCCTGTAATCCCAGCACTTTGGGAGGCCAAGACTAGAGGATTACCTGAGCCTATTAGTTTGAGACCTCATCTCTACAATAAATAAAATTAGCCAGGTGAGGTGCTGTGCACCTGTAGTTTAGCACCTTGGAAGGCCGAAGCTGAAGGGTCACCTCACCAGCAGGTTGAGGCTGCAGTGGCCTTGAGTGTGCCACTGCACTCCAGCCTGGGTGACAGAGTGAGACTCCGACTCAAAAAAAAAAAAAAGAAAAGATGATAATGGGTCATCATTAAAAGTTTAGAAAATAAACCTTAGGTTGATTAAATAAAAGAGTACCCTTTTTTCTAAGTAATTGATAATTATTGCTGTACTGCGGTACATCGCAAGACCATTAATCGTAAACTAGAGTCTTGCTGAAAAACTAGTTAGTTAATTATGACTTACAACTATAATTTTTAAACCACTTAGGGTAGCAAAGAATGTATTGTTTTGTTTTTGAATACTTGTATAGGGATTATTGACCATGTGTATGGCACTATACATCTTTAACTCTTTTTTATTTATTTATTTGGGGGGGATCAGAGTCTTACTCTTCTAGCCCAGGTTGGAGTACAGTGGCATGCTTATGGCCATCGTAGCCTCGACCTACTGGGCTCAGGTGATCCTTCTGCCTCAGCCTCCCTAGTAGCTAGAACCACAGGCGTGTGCCACTATGCCTGACTACTTTTTTAATTTATTGTAGAGTGTTTAGAATGATTGAGAAGAACGAAAAGTCTTATTCGAGAACTTGAAGCATATCTTTTTCTTTTTTTTTTATTTTTTTTGAGTTGGAGTCTCACTCGGTCGCCCAGACTGGAGTGCAGTGGCCACTCCCGGCCACCGCAGCCTTGCCTGCTGGGCTCTGGCGATCCTTCCGCCTCAGCCTTCCAAGTAGCCGGAATTACAGGCATGTGCTACCACGCCCAGCTGATTTTTTGATTTATTGTAGAGATGAGGTCTCGCTGCCCAGGTGGGTCTCAAACCCACAGGCTCAGGCAATCCACTCACCTCAGCCTCTCAAAGGCACGGGATTACAGGCTGAGTCTTTACCAAGCCCAGCATGTTTTGCTTTTTTAATGAACATTTTGGTTCACTTTCTCACCTTGGCATTAAGTGTTTTATTCTCAAATACTAAGAAACCTTTAGGTTATATGCAGTAAGTAGGCTACTTACGCACTGGTGACCTACTTTTCAACTCTCCCTTGGCCAGAAGCAACAAAGCTACAGATATAGATACTTGGTTGATTTCTTAGGAAACTGGTATTTTTCTTACCTCATGGAAGTATTAGGCAACCTGTATCCTTATATTTACTCACATTTTCATTGCAAACAAATGAAATTCGAGCTTCATGCCTCTCCTCATTTTTTAAATGATATAGCAAGCATGTTTTTTTTAAAAAACACTGGAAAATATAAGCCGGGCTTGGTGGCTCAGCCTGTAATCCCGCGCCTTTGGGAGGCTGAGGTGAGTGGATTGCCTGAGCCCGAGGGTTCGAGACCCGCCCTGGCAACTTGGCGAGACCTCATCTCTACAATAAATCAAAAATGAGCCGGGTGTGGTAGCGCGCGCCTGTAATTCCGGCTACTTGGAAGGCTGAGGCGGAAGGATCGCCAAAGCCCAGCAGGTCGAGGCTGCGGTGGCCTGGAGAGGCCACTGCACTCCAGTCTGGGCGACAGAGTGAGACTCCAACTCAAAAAACAAAACAAAACAAAACACTGGAAAATATAAAACTCAGTAATTCGACCACTTGGTAAATGATAAGAATGTATCATAATTAAGGATTTGTGTATTCTGTGTTCTTAGCACCTCCCTCATGGTTTTTAATTATTTTCTGGCATAGGGAAATGAATTCCAGAACTTGAAAGACCTTCTATGCAAAAGGTGGCTATTACATGCTACTAAGTTTTCTTTCTTTGTTTTTTTTTTTTTCCTTAATTGGAGTTATAGCAGAGCTGAGTTCTCTTTCAGCCCCTCATTTTCTAATTTTAAGAAGAAAATTGTCATAATTGAGATCTGCTGAAATAAAAGGGACATGTAATTTTCTAGTTTGCATTTTGTGGTTACCAAAAAACCATCTGCTACGTATCATCTCTTGTTAACCTTTCTTTAAGAACAAACAGCACAAAAAGAAGACATATCTAGTAGACTAGATGTGAAATGAATCTTGGGCTTTTTATAGTGCTTTTTAAAATTCTACCTCTGGGGCCAGTAACTTTTAAGGAAATTGTATAGTTTTTCCAATTTAATTTACAGTATTTCATAAAACATTGTTTTTCTCTAATATACAAATAAGTGGGTCATAAAGGTTTGATTTTTTTTTTTTTTTTTTTTTTTTTTTGAGTTGGATTCTTACTGACGCCCAGGCTGGAGTGTAGTGGCACGCTCATGGCCATCGCAGCTTTGACCTGCTGGGCTCGGGTGATAATCCTTCTGCCTCAGCCTTCCAAGTAGCTAGAACTACAGGCACACGCCACCACTCCCGGCTAATTTTTTGTTTTATTGTATAGATGAGGTCTGGCCAAGTTGCCCAGGCTGGTCTCGACCAGGTAGTCCTCTCACCTCAGCCTCCCAAAGTGTTGGGATTACAAGCTGAGCCACCATTTTCGGCCTTGTTTTTCTTTATTACATAAGGATAATTATACCTGAACAGTCATTTTTTTCCTCTGTGGAAGAGCCAGTAAATATTAACACTTTCATGTACTCAAGTGTTGTGTTTTGTTTTAATTTATCGTAGGTCTCACCAAGTTGCCCGGTCTGGTCTCAAACCCTCAGCCTCAGGCAATCCACTCGCCTTTGGCTTCCCAAAGGGCTGGGATTACAGGCTGAGCCACTGAGCCCAGCCGTACTCAGGTTTTAAAAATAGGATGTTAGCTTGGGCGCTGTGGCTCATACCTGTAATCTCAACACTTTGGGAGGCCAAGGCAAGAGGATCATTTGAAGCCAGGAGTTGAGACCAGCCTGGAGAACATAGTGAAACCTCATCTCTACAAAAAATAAATAATAGGATTCCAGTCAATGAGGTAGATGGGAGGATGGACCACCACATATAAATGAGTTTTTCTGCTGCTAACTTGAGCTTTTGTGTGTAAAATATAGATTGGGTATCCCTATCCAAAATGCTTGGGACTAGAGGTATTGCAGATTTTGGAATGTTTGCATTATGTTTACAGGTTGAACATTCCTAATCTGAAATTTGAATTGTTCCAGTGAGCATTTTCTTTGAACCTCATGTCAGTGCTTAAAAAGTTTCAGATTTTGGAGCATTTTGGATTTCAGATTTTGGGTTAGGGATACTCAACCCCTATATATACACAGAAGGTGCCCCAAAAAGTA